GTAAAGCTCCCTTCTCTTCCCAGAGACTTTGTTTCAGCATGTCAAGGTGAGCTTTGGTAGTTTGCTGTAACTGCCCCTCTGGTGAGATCAGCAGTCCCTATAAAACCAATATAGCCGCATTACGGAAAAGTTGGAAGTTGCAGAAGCAAACATACTAACAAAGCCACTGCTGGTGTTTTGGGGCACTGCTCTCCATCTTCTTGGGCCTTTTAAAAACCTCTCTGGTGATCAGAAAGTAGAACAGAGTTTTGACTCCTGTTCTTTTACTGTCAGACATTGTACTATATGCTATCCCCCCTCCCCATGTTATTAAGTAATGGTAAATAATACTCAATAAGCATATGTACCATTTATTTTTAAACCAAGATTCTCCTATTGTTGAGCATTTATAATTTTTACAAGCATATACAATTTTTCAGTGAGCATAATTTGGGGTTAGGTTGCAGAATGTCAGAGTTTATTTCCTTAGGCTGACTTCCTAAGAACTGGAATTTCTGCCTTAAAGGGGATGCACTTTCAGTGATTGTTCACACATTGTTCTTGCGGAGACCTGGTTTCCTTCACCCAGGAAGTCACCTTTTCCATCTCTGAGGTAGCAGATTCCCTTCCCTCATAAAAACAGACTTGACCTCCACTCTGGAAGTGCTGCTTACTCTCTCCCTAGTCCTCCCTTTGGGACCAGAAGTTTATTTTACATGCCAACATCTTTAACAAGACAGATTACAATTCTGTAAACATACAAATGTAAAGGGTATGAGCAAAAAGAAAAAGTCATTGGGTTAGTAGGGTGGGATTATGACTTCTTCGTACCTTTTGTTTTTCTAATTTTCTGTAATGTTCTTTCATTTTCTTTATGATTAAAAAAGGGGGAAGGTCTTCTAAATAGATTTGAATAAATGGGTGAAACAGCCCAGGCCTCCTGAGATGACCTTTGTGAACCAGAGCTGATTCTCTATTAATGCATATCGTGAAGAAACTAGTCACCGCAGGGCAGCCGAGGTGCTGAATGCCTCCTCCCTGACCTCGGAGACTCAGCTGTGTGCAGGGGCGCGTGGAGCCTCCTTGTGCAAGCTGTGTAGATTGCTCTGGGCCCACCCCAGGTTAGGTGCCTGGGGTGGGAGCTGCTTAGGGCAGACTCTGAGGGGCGCACCCAAGGAGGCCTCTCTACAAACGGGATGTCCTGTGAACATTTCTGTCAGACAGAAAAAATGAGTTGTTATTAATGAAGTTAGCCTGGCCTTTTGTCAGTTGAACGTAAAAATCTTTTTTTCCCCCTCATTATGAAAGAACCATTACAATTCACAGGCTATTTAGTCACTGTGTTATGTCAGTGAAGGCTGCTCGTTATCCCCCGTTTTTATATTGCAGCCAGAACATTTTGAAAAGTATAACTTCAAGGTTTACACAGTGATGTCCTGGAATCTTAGATTTTACAACAAATTTGTAGACATGAATAGTATGTGATACGGGTTGGCTTCTAGAACTGCGCTGTCCAGTATGGTAGCCACTCACCACATGTGGCTATTTAAACAAATTAAAATTAAATATTTAAACAAATTAAAATTAAATATAGGTCCTCATTTCAAGTGCTCAATAGCACATGTGGCTGGTGGCTACCATATGGGACAGTGGAGATACAGAACATCTCCATTACCCTAGAAAATTGTATTGGGCAGCACTGTTTAGAGGAAAAGACTCTCTTGCTCTTTTTTTGTTTTTGCATGTTAACACGCAGAAATAGTGATCCAAGGAATTTAAATAGTGTGTGTATCTTATAGTTTTTGCTAAACTAGTTGCAGATTACAAAAGAATCCCAAATTGGAGTGAGAGGCTCCATCAACCTTTGTAGATGAAATAAACCTAGAACTGATGTGCGTGAGTCCTGAACTGTTCCCGTTTTAATCAGTCCCTGTTTACACCCATTGAGTTTACTTGAAATAATGGCACAGTCATATACATGTAGTGGTTATTGCTTAAGGGGGGGAAGCTGGCCTGCTTTGTCGTTGCCAGAGTGTTCAGCAGGTAGGTTGTCTGCATCACTGAAAAGAACCTGGCTGGACCAACAATGGGAAATGCAAATGGAGAACTTTTTTGATACTGGCATGTTTTTCCCCTGTAGGAGAACTGCGGCACATCACCAAGCTGAAGCCCTGGAGCCTCTTTGATGTACTTGTGGAAAAGTATGGTTGGCCCCATGAAGATGCTGCACAGTTCACAGATTTCCTGATCCCGATGTTAGAAATGGTTCCAGAAAAACGAGCCTCAGCTGGCGAATGCCTTCGGCATCCTTGGTTGAATTCTTAGCAGATTCTACAAATATAGCATTCTGAGCTAGCAAATGTTTTCCAGTACATTGGACCTAAACGGTGACTCTCATTCTTTATCAGGATTACAAGTGAGCTGGCTTCATCCTCAGACCTTTATTTTGCTTTGAGGTACTGTTGTTTGACATTTTGCTTTTTGTGCACTGTGATCCTGGGGAAGGGTAGTCTTTTGTCTTCAGCTAAGTAGTTAACTGACCCACTTTCATCTGGAAACAACATGACTAAGCATTGTTTCTTGTGTTGTGTGACATCGAGATGTCATTTTTTTGAACGAAAAATACTTTCCCCTTGTGTTTGGGCAGGTTTTGTAACTATTTATGAAGAAATATTTTAGCTGAGTACTATATAATTTACAATCCTAAGAAATTATCAAGTTGGAACTAAGAAATAGCAAGGAAATGTACTGTTTTACCTTCTGGCAAAGGGACATCATTCCTGTATTATAGTGTATGTAAATGCACCCTGTAAATGTTAATTTCCAGTAAATATGGGATGGGGACTCAAATTTCAGAAAAGCTACTAAGTGTCGAGTGCTTTGTAGCCTAAGTTGCATGTAGCGGACTTTAACTGCTCCAAGGAGTTGTGCAAACTTTTCATTCCATAACAGACCTTTTACATTGGATTTTAAACAGTGTGTCTCTGGTTTACAAGATTTCATTCCTTATCTGGCACTTTAAAGGAAGAAAAGACATGCTTCTCATTCTGAAGTACGCATTATTGTTTAGCACTCCCATTCGTATTTTTGCATATTTTTCCTCAGAGTACTTCTAAAGAAAAAGAGCGATTTCCCTTTAAAAATGTGATAATCCAGTACCACGTGGTGTTGCCTCCACCAAACACTGTAAGTTAAACTATACATAGATTAAATTGGACAGTAGAAACATGTTCAGTGTGTGGAATGAAAGTAACTTTTTTTTTTTGAAAAGCATGAGTGTCTAAAACACAAGTGCGGTAGATACAATTTGCAGTGCAGTGGGCAGAGTGACTCCTAACATCTCAGAGGTAACAGTGATCACGTTAATTCCATAGGTAGTTTTATGTATTGCTACAACAAATTTTGTTTTTCCATGAATTGAAGTAATGATTTTTTCCCTTTGCAGGTTGCACAGTTTTGCTTATGCATTTTCTTAAAATTAATTGTAGAATCCAGGACACAAACCATAGTAGTCAATACATTTTTAGAAGGTAATATGCAGAGGTGTATTTAACCTCTTTTAGAAGTCAGTGGGATGAATGTAAGTTTTTTTTAAATTTTAAATTCATTAAGGTGCCTCGTTTTTCTTGACTTTTGTCCATCAAGATATATATCCATACGCCTTTGCAATAACTAGATTGTGAAAAGATACCAAGTGTTGTAACAATAATCTATTGTTTGAGGTGCTTGCAGTTGTTTTAAAAATTAAAGTTTTCTTTTCCCCCCCCAGAACACTGTCTTGGTCATTGGCCTATATTTGAAGTGATAGAGTCAACGAACATTTGCTGTCATTTTAGTGCAGTATAACCAAAACCTAAAGGAAATAACATTCTTGTTGCTGGAAATGTAGTTGTTTAACATGCATAAAGGCTTATTATAAGGAAGTCATTTATTGTTTTATAAGGACAGAATATGCATTTAGAAAAGATGCTGCAGTATGTAGAATTCATTACGTAGAATTTCAGTAATCCTTTTTCATCAAAAACACATTAATTGCATTCTGGTTGAGCATCTTAGTGCAATTTTTTTTTTTAAACAGTATTCACTGTGAGGGAACAAGATACATAATCTTCTTAGGAATTAGCATTGTATCACATATCACTGTGAGGTAATACATATCATTCAAGAAGTGTGCATGCTAAATTTTTCTAGCGTGGCTGTAGGTGACCATGTAGGTTCTTTGACAGGTGGTGGCTGTAGACCATATAGTGATGCCGTCCACGATTTCCATAGGAAACACACAGAATGTATTTGTATCTCCGTGAGTGTATACAGATCTTTACCAGGGCAACAACACACTTGAATAAAATTTGACTAGTGCAGTTTGGGCCCATGTTGGAAAATAAACTGGATTGTTATTAATTTTGAAAGTGTCTCTCCCTTGTGATAAAAAAGTCACACTAGTTAATAATATAGACACAGATTGCTCTGTTGTTGTTAGGTGCCATCAAGTTGGTTCTGACTCATAGCAAACCTGTGCACAACAGAACAAAACACCACCCAGTCCTGCACCATCCTCATAATCGTATGGTTAAGCCCATCATCTTTGCAGCCACTGTGTCTCTAGGAGAATACATTTGTATTAGGAACAGTATAGTTTTAGCAGGGTCTTGGTAACTTGTTCATAAAGAAGGCATATAAGCTAAATGAGAACCATTGGTTATGCAAAACCTTAGAATAGCCAGCTTATTGAGTTTGGTTGAATGTCCTCTCTTTTCCCTTTTCTAGTCTATGTGAAGTTTTCATGGAAAATGATAGGCAGTGGAGGATATACATGATTGTAGTAAATTCAGAAGCTGTTTGTCTAGCAGTTGGCTGACAGAATTGCCCAAAGGCAGAGAAAAAATGGATGTAGGAGCTGTAAAAAAAAAAAACCACAAATTTTTGAGGTGAAAACTGGTTTACTAACTTGCTGCTGCTTCCTGTACCTGAGCCAGACATAACTGATTAACAGGAGAAAGTAAGGCCACTGTTGCTACTAGGGTAAAAAAAAAACCTTCAGTTTGCGTCTGTAGTTGAAATTGTTTATTAAATTCTATTTTTTCCTCCCATTTAAAAAAAAATTTTCGTGAAATTTTTGTAGAGGGTAGTATTTGAGAGCGCGTATGTCCTCACCAAGGAGTCAAAAGAATTACACAAAAGCTTCTGCATACATTGTTCGGTGTAGTAGGCAAATTTAAAACTGAGGAATTAAAAATCTTTACAAGGATCATCCTTTTAAAGAGGTGAATGTTGATATTTCACCATGGTAGTTAACTGCATTCCATGTTTGAAACTATCTGAGGTGGGTGATGCGAAGCCAGTTCTCAGTCGAATTCTTTAGTGAATACCATAAGTAGAATTTTGTTTGACAAGTAAAGGATGGCAAAGTTGACCTAAGTTCTTCTAAATCTTGAAACTTAGGGTTAGGATTGAGCCCTAACAAGAGCTGTGTTAATCTCACCATCATCACTAGCTAATTTTCAAAAGGAAATGGAAATTAAAAGTATAAACATGATTTTACTATCGAATCTTACTCAGTCATTTTTAGTCTCTTTTTTTCCTCCGATGCACAAATTAGTGTGCTGTGCCAAATTATGTCAGGTAATTGGATAGTGAAAAATGTATTGACAGATATTGTCATTACTATTGGATACGCTTAAATTATCCTCCTGAGGTAGAAGACAAAGGCTGGGAATTTCTTATTTTTCCAAAGTAATAATTAGCATTTTATATTTTAGTAATAAAATGTTCACTTGAGAGATCTTAGAATAATAATGCCTTTTTCCTTTAGTTTTATAAACCCAAACCAAATTTTTAAAAAAAGGTATTTCCCACTTGTTTTTATACTATAGCTAGGTGGTAAATGGTAAGGTTTTCAAAATCATTTTGATTACTCAGTGGTACATTTCAGTCATGTTCTAAAATGTACAAATTAAATTTTCCTATGTTTTTAGGCAAACTAATTTTCAGAGTTGTTATAAATTGCAGTCTATAACTGTATCATGTGTAATGCATTAATAGTATGGATTCATAATGTCCGATACGTCAGAAAATTTGCATAGCATGAATATTTAGAAGTGTCCTATGGCTCTTGTTCCTGCAAAAATGACAAGTTAGGAACACGGTGGGAACAACCAACCCCTTATTGCCTCCTGACTCTTGCTGCCGTTAAAGTGAGGTAGTAGTCACTACAGAAAATCAAAGCCTCCTTACAAACTGTATTTGAAAACTGTAACTTTTGTTACAGTTGTAACTTACCTAACCAGACCCCAATCTTAGAAGTTGTATGGGACAATTTGGTAAAACTGACATAATTGTGATTTATTAACATGAATTAAAATGCCCAACCAGTGCTTCAATGTGACAGTATATTTAAAATAAAAAAGAAATTAAAGTCATATACTGTACTACTTTCACAGAAATCACACAGTTTTGCAAAAGACTTGTCATATGTACAATGCTATATATCAAATGAGAAAAGCTGTAAGCAGTTATATACGCAAAAGAAATGCAATATTTACAGTTTATCAGGAGACATTAGAAATCATCTATACATTAAATTACATTTTGCTTGCAAATAACCGATAAAACAAAACGGGCCATGTCCACACCAAACTATAAAAATTTGTATTGCATTTTTTTTTTTTTAATCTAAGATGCACCCACAGAACTTCTGACAGAAAAAAAAAAAATCCTCATAGTGCCATTACTTATCTGTGTACTTAATGCATATGTATAAAATAATACAGAAAACATTCACTAAATGAATTTAACGGCAACAATAAAATTTAAAGATCATGTAGCATCAAATCTACTGCCAGAAAAACAGCTGGAATGTTCACTTACAAAATAAAGATACCTAAATACTGGCTTAACAGCACATTTTAAAAGGAATTTTAAAAAGCAAAAATGGGAAAAATACAATGAAAGAGCACTGGTGTTTTGTTTTTGTTTTTATACAAAGTTTCATGTACAAGCTTTAAAAAGTACCTTGATAGGTACATATGAAATATACAGTTTATCTTACAGAACATTTAAAAAAAATGTTTTTGGAGTCCATTAATGCCACCCTGAACCATGGTAATTGTTCTGAAATGTTGGTGGCACCTGTGCTCTGTGAATTGGAATCTGTCCAGGCACTGGAGATGCCTGCTGAGGTCCCTGAACCCCATGTGGCAAGGCCACAGAGCCAGGATGCGGACAGAACCCTGAAGCAGTAGGTGTTGGAATACTGTTTGGTCCTTGGGGCTGGAGATGAGGACCTGCGACTGGTAATGGACAATGTGGCCCTGTTCCAGAAGGCTGGTGTTGGGGTCCCGGTCCCAAAGTGGTATGATGTGTAGCTTGTGAGGGGTACGGTGGTACAGCTGGATGAGCACTTGAAGGAAAAAGTGGAGGTCCTTGATGAGGAGGTGGGTGGTGTAAGGCTTGAGCTGATGTGGGATGATGCCCAGAAGCCAAAACACTGGAAGGTGGTGGTGGAGGAGGAGGTGGGGGTACTGAATTTACAACATGCTGGTGTTGTACCTGTAGACCTTGGAGTCCTGTGGGAGGATGGGGAGGTGGATGGTGATGAGGGGCAGGACCTGGAGGTGGAGGAGGTGGCGGTAAATGATGTCCAGCAGTTTGAGAATGAATATGTGACCCAGGGGCCACAGCATGAACTGGCCCTACTACATGTGCTACAGAGTGTTGCTGATGGGAATTTGGCTGTTGTACAAGGTGTGGTCCTGGAGCAGGTGGTGGTGGAGGAGGGGGTGGGACGACAGCAGCAGCAGTTTGATGGTGAATAGTAGGGTTCTGAGAGGGCAAAAAATGCCCTGGAGTAGCATGGTGTCCTGGAACTGTTTGCTGGCTTGTGGTGCCAGGAAGTGCTTGATTTGGTCCTGATGTAAACACAGTTTGTTGGGAAAGACTACCTTTGAGCTGACTATAATTCTGAAAGTTTGCAGACGGCTGCTGGTTTTGATAGTAAGACGAAGAAGAAGGAGGCGGAGGGGGTGGAGGGGGTGGTGCCGTGCTGTTCAGACTTTGTTGGTTAAACTGGCTATATGTTGCTGAAGATTGTCCTGAGGGTGTCTGTGTAAATAATGCTCCAGAAGTTGCCTGCTGAGTATTGGCTTGAAGGTTCTGTGCTGCTGGATAAAAATTTCTCTGAGGCTCTCGCTGTGGTGTTCCAACTTGAGGTGACTGTGAGTGATGAGGCCTATAGGGAGATCCTAACTGTTGTGAAGGAGGCTTTGGTGAAAGATAACCATGCTGTACAGGTGTGTGAGGCGTCGAGGACTTTGGAGGATTTTCTATGTGGGGTGATGGAGGACAGTGCAACTTTACTGGTGCAGAAGGCAGCTTTTGTGAAAGTTGCTCGGATGAACTGCGAAGGTGTGGCTGAGGAGGATGATTCTTTGAAAGTGCTTGGGTGTTATTTGATAGCTGTTTTTGTTGGAGCTCTGTTTTTACGTGAACACCATTCTCAGCTTCTGGTACAGTAACTGTCGCCTCCCAATGGGAATCTGGCTTTGTGAGTATTTTCCCATGTGGCTGAGCAGGAACTATAGGTCCAGGTGAACTAGGCTGTAAAAAGATAACAAACCATATTAACCTTATATATTTATACAAATGTAGCATTTTATGTACCCTGAGGTTTATTCTGATGGGTATTTAATGTTATTTAAATATTACTTTTAAAAAAGGACAGAGAATAGGACAGGTTTGAGAAGTCAGTTTTTTTTTTCAGTAGTCCAATAAGCTCTTGTAGTGAGCTTAAACTGAATTCCCTGAATTACTTTTTATTGAAAACAAGTTAAGGAAATAATAGTCTTTGAAACTGAATCTGCCCTTTTTTCTCTAAGTAAGGAACCCTATTTTGGAGCTTAACTTAAAGAACCCTAAAAACCATAAACAGTTAGCAAGTTTGAATGCCATAAATGAAATTTCTAGACCAAACCTAATGATGAATTGGCTTAGGTAACTAAACTTGCTCCCCCAAAACTTTCAATTTTTTAAAACTTTTTTATTTTCCTTATATTCTATTCAAATATAAGTAATCCAAATATAGACTACTTAAATGTATATGATGTTCTTTTACTTGGGGGGAAGAAAAAAACAATCTCAGGTTCCTAATCTGTAGTTGCCAAAGCTATATCTGTCACACTGGACTGTCACATCTTCATGGCCCAAGATGGAGCGGAGCTATCATTATTCCTTATAAATGAATGTCACTCAACCTTAATTGGTTGGTCAAATATTTCATGAAAAAGGTATGAACTTCCTAGAAACCACTAGACTAGAGGTGGAACTTTTAGAGAAAATGTAAGCTATTGAAGTGTGCAAGAATGAATAATAAGTAAAGTAATTAACACAACTGTGTTTGACAGAGAAAAAGCATCTAGAAATCACAAACTGATACTTGGGTACAGACAGCCAAAAAAGGAAACAACTGCATTTTAACATCAACCTTTCTGAATGGCTACTTTACTTTCAAAGGGTGTAGTGTTATTACCTTGCTCATTTTTGAAGGACTTTTACAAGTCTTTTGATAAGTATCTGGGGATGGACATTCATCTGTAGTCGTGGGTTCTGGGTTTTCAGGATCCAGGTCTGTAAAACAGAAGAAACCTAAGTAAATGGAAAATTACATGATACATTTTGTCTTTATTAACACCACAAAGAAATTTACATTGTACTATTCAAATCAACTTTTATAAAGGCTTGCTTTCTTCTTTCAAATTTAAAAAGGTGTTTAAAATTATAACCATGATAGGTCATCTGCTTACTGACCTTCCGCAAGTTCACTGAAAGAAGGGACTGGGCCCTTAGGTTGCAACTGGGGAATGTGATTTGAATGAGATGAAGGTGAAGACTGAACATGACTCGGTGAACATGAGATACATGGTGATTCTCCCCCTAGAGATGAAGCAGAAGCAGACCCAGAGAGCATTAGAACTGCAAAGAACAAGGATACAGACTGATTAGCTGATTCCACTGTTTGGTGAAGGAACAAGCTCACTTACCACTGTCTTTATCTTTTCGGTGGTCACTGAGAAGTAAAGCTCTCTGATAACTCCTTTCTCTCACTTGTTCCACTGAAGTTGAGGCAGTCCTTTAAAATAAAATCATTATTGTTAACTGGAAGAAGCTCTTAGTGGTCAGTATGTCCTCTCAGAGCAAGACTTTTGCTTGACTGGGAAAATACTTTGGTGTTAAGCTTTCAAACCAGCTAATCTTTTTTTTTTTTTTTTTGCTAACAGCTCCCAACTCTGAGATTCTTATCCCCATTTATTTGAAGAACTCAATCAAACTCAATTCCTTTGTCTTCAGCAATTTCTTGGTGAAAAGACAAAGGGGGGAGTTGAAGGATAATGTGCTAATATTCAGAATATCACTTCAGTTTATCAAAGGTACCAAAATATACCCGTAACAAATTACTTGTGTTGGGATTGTAAGGCTACTAGGAAGCTCTTAGGGGTAAGGGGACAAGGGAACAAAGGGAATGTGGCCTCCTGCTCTATACCAAGACCCATCCTATATCTAGCTTCTTTTATTCCTACTGAAGAAACACTAAACTTGGTGGTTCTCTGAAGGTAACTAACTGGAAGGGGTTGTAAGGAAACTGCAAGATACTGACTCTGATAACAGTTTTCTGGAGAGGAATACGTGTGTGTGAATAAAATGAATAAGAGTAAACACAACGGACCTTTAACAACAATGACAAATATTCAGCTGGTTTGAAATCCTATCAGCAAGGAGGATCTTTCAAAATTATGGCCACACATCTCTATCTACTTAGCCTTGGGAGAAGAACAACGAATAGGAAGGCAGTTCATTAACAAAAGCTTGTTCTTTTCAGGGTAACATACAGCTCCATTCAAAATCAGCTACGTAAAAAGTTAAGATCCTGACTGAATGATAAAGATACAGACTACTTGAATTATAAGCTGTATCTCTTGTAGCTCTAAAGCCACCAATTAGGTTTTAAAAACAGCTTTACCATTGAACTTCTGGTTCATTCTTCTCACTGGCAGAAGCTTCCTTAGCAGGACAGTTATTGCTGGTTTCTTCAGAAGTAGCATAAGCAGCAGCTGGTGTTGGTAAAGGTAGGCTAGCAGTGTTTTCTCCCTGCTCCCCATTTTCACTACTGTTGGCACACCCATCACCAGTGCTGTTCAAGTTTCCACTTGGATGAGGTGATACACTAACCAGTGGAAAGTTTTCTGCTTTAGAGCCACTTTTCCTAGCTTCACGTTGTCTCTTACGATATTCTAATAGAGAAACCTTAAGCAAGAAAGATAAGGAAATCTTTTATTCTTGTTACATATGTCAGAATAATCACTCTTTTTATTTAAAAAAATTACTGTATTTACATTAGGAAAATTACGTAAAATAATTGGATTCTGAACAAATAATTAACAATTATCAAATGCCTACTATATGCCAGGCATTGTACTAAATGGTTTACATACATTATCTCATTTAATCCTCACAACAACCCTATGAAATAGGTATATTATCATCCCCATTTTACAGATGAGGAAATTGAGTAACTCACTCACTCAAGGTCACACAGCTGGTGAGTGTTGGAGCCGGGATTCGAACCTAGGTCTTACTTGAAAGCCCGTGCTCTTTCCACTATACTACATTGCTTCCCACAAAGTTGCCAACTGGACTCTGTTATAAAAATTAAAAGCACACATCACTAAAATTCTTTGACTTGCAAAGCAATAAGCCTGTTAACAAAACAAGTGTTGTAGTTTTTCTCCTTCCTCTGAAACAAGGCATTCTAATTGTCTCAATATATCTGCCAACCAAATAATGGTGCTAAATCAGGGGACTTACATTGCTAATAATACCACTTATTTATTTTTCATATAATACTTATCTATTAGTACAATAATTTTCAAAATACTCTTCCATCCATGTTCTTAAGTACTATATAGATATTACGAATGAGGAAGGAGGCATTTCTTCTATACAGGGCTCCCCATTCTATGTAAAGTAAGGGTGAAAAGAGCATAAATAACATTCAACTCTATTTGGTTGGAAGCAGGTATTAAAGTTACTCATTTGGTGAAATAAATCATATCTGGAAATTTTGGTCTCTGAAACCATGCTCCTTTTCAAGAATTTTCTAAATCATTAGAATTTTTTTACTTTTTATGTAAACATTTTCCAATTATGTGAGCATTTACAAAACGTTTAAAAATGACATCAAAAATATAACTCGAATAACTAAATTACGAATGCCTTACATAATATACATTATAGCTACTCATTACCCTCAGACTTATAAAAAAACACTATTAAGAAGAGTATAAATTGTTAAATTTGTAACCTTTTTCTTTTGTGGTGGATTCTGGGGTGTGCAACTTCCGTCAATCAAATTGTCATTAACGGTCCGTCCAAAACCAGATACAAGCCCGTCTTCTGAAGTACAAAACACAGCTGTTTCCATAAATATGCCTCTAGTATCATCCTGCATCAGGCACTTTGACTCACTTACTCGGAAGCCTCCTCCAACCTCCAACTGATGTGAGGGTGTCAGATCCCTCAAGTTTGAGTTTACTGAGAAATTAACTCCTGTTCTATCAGGACTCTTTACCCATGAGGAATATAACGTGGCCCGTCCAGAATGAGTAGATTCCAGTTGGCTGGTAGACTCAGTCCTGTCATGTGTAGGTGTTTCCATGGTTTTATGTAAGGCAGTTTGCTCGATTGCATCGAGTCCCAGTTGAAGGTCTGTTACTGGTTCCTTTTCTCCAGGGCACTGTCGACTGACTTCGGTCCTACTCCTTGGGCTGGTATAACCAATAGTCTTTATTTCTTGCAGACCCATTTCAGTTAAGTTAGAATTTCTGAAAGGCCCCAGTGTTAACATGGTTGAAGATCTGTCATATCCCTGTTTATAGAATTTAAAAAAAAAAATTACACAAATAACCACAGCTTGATACTGCTTATTTTAAAATCTACCAATAATTTAAGCAAAATAATGATACTAGGAAAAATTCACCTTTTTCTGTAACTCCTTACCTCTTGACTATAAGTGCGTCTCTTAATTTCTGGAGAACTTTCTGGGGAAGAAATATTCTATATAAAAAAAATTAGAAGTGATAATTAAAATATATTGCCAAGGCCATGATTATTTATAGAAATGAAAACTTAAAATGAGAAACTACTACAGACTTTGGTTTTAGACTTGTCTATTTTATTTCCATTCCCCAAATAAAATATATGCTTTAAGGTAAATTTGATACATGTCACTTAGTCTGACTGTGTATCAGTAAGCAACTTATTTTAATGAAAAAGTTTCAATTAACATTAAGTGCTTGTTCCCAGTTTTCTCTGTTAGTTTCTGAAAACCTTTTTTCTACCAAGCACACTAGTTCATTTACATTTCTTACCTCAAAGTGCATGCTATTTCCTGGTGTACCAGGAGTCACTGGGGTAACTGGTGAATATATAGGTTTATAACCATTTCTATAAGTTTCATCATCTGATTTCATCCGTGGAGGAGTAGCAAATGATGGGTCTATAGGAGTAATATCTGTGTGAGTTGGTGTAGCATAGGGTGAAGGAGTAGGTGTGGAGGTTTCGGAGTAAGCAGAATCTAGTAACTGATAAAGTCTTCGTTTTTTCAGTGGTGTAGTTAAATCTGTTGGTGAAAATTTGTAAGAAATTACACTGCTGGTATTTGCTGTAATCTATAATATACTACATTCTAAAAAAGATGAAAACATCAACAATACTAGTTATGATGACTCCCCCCTCCAATCTAAATTTCATGGTTTTTAAGATAGTATTAACATAAAGCAGTCTCCTCCAAATTAGTTAACTTCACTATTAGCAAATATTATCTTGTCTGAAGGCTTACAGGCCTAAGGGTTTCAGAGAAATCTTACAAGTACTGGTGTTACTTTAACTGATTTCTTAGAGTCCTTTTCAATCTATCTGCACAGCAGCCAATCCAAAAGCCAAAACAGGCCAAAAATTCAACCATAAATCACAACAAACATGGTATTGCAAATTAAGGTTTTTATGTCTATATTCATCAAGAAGGCTGGAGGACAGAAAAGAGAAAGTAACATGACAACGTGAACTGTTACTGAAATAACACAGCAGTAACTAGAATATGCCTGTTAAGAAGCTATGTATAATCTTGCCACATTCCTCACACTAAAACAATACTGAAAAGAAATTCTACCTGGAAGGGAACAGCTATCATTTAATAGTAGTGGACTTTTACTTTCACCATTGACTGTAGGACTTCTGGATCTTTCTTGATAGGGTGAATTAAATCTATGTAAAATTGTAGAATTTTCTTCTTCCAAAGCTTGTTTCAGCCATCGCTGGAATACATAAAACAACAAATGGATAAAAATCAATTTTTAGCTGTATTACATGGCCTATAAATGTAGAGCAGATTCCAAAAGCATTTCACTACTAGGGATGATAGTAAGGAATGAGACTGGTATTTGGCTCAGCCTAGTTTTTTATATCCCAAGAAAAGTTTACCTTCTTGCATGAGCCAGAAATGTTTTCAGTAGGTTCTTTTCTTCTCCTTTTTTCTGAAAGGAATGGTGAAGTAAATCGAATATAATGCTTAGGAGTAGAGTATACATGGGGACTGTAAGTGAGACCTGGTAAAGAATTGAGCTGTGTAGCCAACACTTCAGGATCTGTAGTTATGCGCAGAGGCCTTTCTGAAAGACCATCTGAAGGTTTTCCTGTCTTCTCATTCTTCTCACTTAACCATTCATTGACCAAGTGCTAAAGAAAAGAAAAATTTGGATCACTATATATATAATTACACAGATCCTCCTATATAGAATATTCTAATAAATTTGAAATCAATATTTTAAAGTGATATGGTGAGTAAATAATTAACAAATGATGTCCAAATAATACAAGTGACTCAACATTTCCTTGATTATCTCATCTGTTATTCCTAAAATTTTTTACACAATACTATTCTGTAGGAACAAAATGCATGATTGCTATTTAAATTTATATACATAAAAACACTAATGCTTTTTAGTACAGTAAAATCTCAGGAGGCTTCAGTGCCAATTAATAAACACAAACATTAAATTTAGGTTTGTAGCTGCTTCTGTTACAGGTTAAAAAAAAGTTCAGTTTAAACTCTGACTTTAAGCAGTGCTTTTCAGGAGGTAAGGCCATGGCACATACTGTTCAAAGAAAGCTGTGAGCATTGAGAATCAGTGATTTAAGGGGTTTGACTCTCTCTGATGTTTTGAAAATTCACTTAATCATTTTCTTAATTCTGCTGATACTTTGATAGACAGTATACATAATTCAGTCTTTAGTGGCTATCCTCTGAATGATAACTGATTAATGATTACTCAAATTTAAGATTATGTTTGTCAGCACAAGCACTTGTTTTGTTTGCTGTCTGGGCATTCATATCTTTTCTATCTAGATACCAAATAATACTCCTTTATATTGTAAATGTAATTTATAGACAATTTGGGAAAATAGTACTGTGTGTGTGTGTGTGTATACACACACACATTCAGAAACACACATTAAAAAAACAGCCTACATTTTATCTTCCAGAAGTAACCACTATGAATATTTTGGCATCTTGCTGGCATTTCTTGTATGTGTACAGAAGTACGTTATTCTATGACAAGCAATAGAAGGTAGTGGAGAAGCACATGGAGTCTGCCTGGGTGTGATACTTACACTGTGACCTTGAGCAAATTATATAATCTTTCTACACCTCAGTTACCTTATCTGTAAAATGAGTCATAATAGAACCTAGCTTTACAAATGGGGTTGTGAGAATTACAACAGTTAACATATGTAAGGCTCTTGGGAAAATGCCGTCTTAGGAAAAAAAAGCTGTCGGCATTGAGAATCAGTGAGTAAGGGGTTTGAATATCTCTTATGTTCCCGCGCTTTCAAAATTCACTCAAATCATTTTCTTATTCTGCAATTCTTTGATATACAATATATACAATTCAGTTTTTACTGGCTATATGCCACCAACGTATGCCAGAACAGCATCTGGCAGAAAGTAAGTAAGTGCTATGTATTATTAAAGTGAATGAAGCCTTTATTTTAGGGGAAATCATGATTATTTGATTCCCCTACTCTGTCAAACAGTATGTTGTCTAAAATAACAAAATACCATACACAGAACCTTTGGCCAAAAGCAGCTTCTTAAGAGAATCAGGACATAGATAGCAGCCCACATCTCAGACCAGGGACAGGCAGGAGCCCACATCAAACTAGGAATTTAAATCAGCTTCAGTATCACAGTAATAGTCATTTAATTAAATAGGGATCATGCCGGTTAGATACTTGCTATTGAGAAAGCAGCTTCTTACATTCTTTTATCCTGAATTTTTTCCTTTTCACTGATCCAAATTACAAAGAAAAGATGGAATTGTTTCTTTTCCTTCCAAGCTGGGCAAAAATGACAGCTCATTTTTAAAGTATTGGTTTGCTTGCTCAAGCTATGTGGTGCAGTAGAGAGCATGTGGTAGAGAACATGGAGAGGGCTGTGTTTAGATCCCAGCTCTCAGTAACCCGGTGATGACGGTACAGCAGGTAAGTTACTGAGCATCTGCCATTAAAGTTACTTCTCGGTTTAGCAACACACCTACAAACTATACTGATTATGTAAGAACAAAGACAAATGACATTTCAAAGTATTTTGTTACAGAAGTGTGTGAAACAAATGTTTATGATCCACCTCCCTCCCCAAATAGCCTAAGGATGACTACTTTGGTGTTTCTGCTCCAGTCTGCTGTATTCTACTTCAGTCAGAGTAGAAGAAAAACAGAAGCTTCATAAGGCTATTCTGTTATTCCTGAGCTGTGAAGCTCAGGTTGGTTTAACCCTATGTATAGTTTTCCATATATCAGTTCATTCAATCTGACAGTAGTTTTTCAAAGACTTTTATTCATGAATTGATCTAAAACTACACTTCTTTAAAAGTTTTCACATTCTTAGTACATTCTGTTGAAATCAACAATTTATTCACATTTAATTCTTGTAATCTACCTATACAATGGAATTTATTTAAAAAAATACCAAGAAGGATAACACATCTAAAACCAGTTGTTTCAGAGAAGTATAAATTTACTATATAACATAGGCAAAATTATTTGAATAATGATGAACTGTAATACTAAAAGGACATCTTGACATACTGAATAACTTCACCCAATGCTAATATTTATATAGATATATAAAATGCAACTGATTTCAGTCTCGCTAAAACAGCAAGTCTCAGTGTAAAAATCTGCAAGTATAAAAATTATGTCTATCACTCTGTTCATAATGAGACATTATAAATTGAATTTTTAAAACAATAATATAAGACACTGTTGTTAGAAAACTGAGATCTTATTCCATTCATTAAGAATCATACCTTCTTTGTTTTAGGGTACTTTGTAGGACATTTATTAAGCGCTGGAACTTCAGTTTCAGGAATTATTTCAGCTACTGCAGTTTCCGTTTCAGGTTCTATTGCAAGGACAGCATTTTCAATGTCATTTTGTTGGGCGGCAACTTCAATGTCAGGAGAAGATGGTTGGATATCTGAACACATGCTGACAGTTCTGTGTCTCCGACGCTGTTGTCCAATGTGAGTCCTACTCCGAGAAAAACTTTTTCTCTGTTTAGTTCTATTCACTTTGGCAGGGGTTGGCTTGGTAGCAGTTTCTTCTTTTGCTTGTTCCTAATTCAAAATACAAGAGAACAGAAACGTAGATACTATGTTTATATAAGAAAGAAGCTGAAACCTAAAACATTAATCTACTTCAGAAACTACCTTTCACATTTCTTTATGAATTCTGGCATATACTAACTTCACATAATTAAAAACTTTCTTACTCTTAAAAATAAAGTACAGTCTTATATCTCAGCTCTAAATTCTCACAGGATTTGAAAAATCCTATTGAAAGGCTAATGTGTGACTTCATTAAAAATTCCTCATAGACAGAATTAAATCATGTGGAGAAATTTTACTGGAAGGTGCTTAAGTGAAAATAGAACTAGACCTGAATAGTAATACCTGAATAACCTCAGCATCACTGACAATCTGTGCATCTTTACATTCAGTTTTAACTTCAGTTTTGGCTGTGCTGATTCTTTCCAAAGCTTGTTCTCTTCTCTTCTCTCTTTTTTCAAGTCTGGCAAAAGCTTGCAGAATTGCTTCCATTTTCCTTTCTTCTCTTGTCTGGGAGATTTAAATTTTAAGTGACAAAATATTATTTGGAAGTAAAAGTAAAAAATCCAAATGTTTATGGCAAATTTTAAAAATTACTGTAACACTGTTAGCAACAATACTTCTGTGATTGGTAGATAAGATAGTCTTTGAACAAACTTTTAGAATTCAAAACATCATTTCAGTAAGCCCTGCAGTTACAAATACATTTCATGAAAGGAGTTCTTGGATGACTGTTAATGATGAGTAAAACAAAAGCCTCAGAAACTACCTTGCTTTACCAAACTGAAAATCTTTTTTTCTTAATAATACAGAATGCAGCCTTTTTAGAAGATTCAAAGTTATTAAGGTAAAATTGAAAAGCTAAAATTCATACACTTAAGGAGTAAGTATATTATTGAAATTCTGTAGCAGCATATAGTGGAGTTCAAATCATGGCTCTTGTCAGTCATTTACTGTCTCTGTCACTCTAGACAAATTAGTAAACCTTTCTGAGACTACAAAATGTGGTAACTTACACTTCACTGGATTGTTACCGAGTTCAAATAGAAAATGTATGAAGTTTTCAAACAGTATTTGGAAAAATGGTAGGCATTCTGTAAGTGTTAATTATTATTTCTACTTTAGCCCATTTGCCCTCCATTATCCTTATAAGGCATTCCTCTACCTTCTGCTCTTCCTGTCTTAACACTGACAGTTCAAGGCAGGGACTGAGGAACAGCAAGAGTTGCTTTGAGCATCAGTTCTCCTTGGATGGAGAACATTAAAAGCAAGACCCAGAGCCTTGACCAGTGGGCCTGGCAAATGCTTCAGCTCTCAACCAGAAACAGGAAGCACGTCCATCAACTGTCCAGTTCTCCAAATGAAAAGAACCAGGTCCTGAGGCTCAGATCCATTTGTCTTTCCTCCTTTATTGTCATTGATGTGGGGAAGAAAGAAAGAAAGATCAGAAACTCAAGGTCTGGCTGCATGGTCTTGTCAACATTGGAGCTTTAGTTCCAGTAATTATCAGCAGAGATTCAAGACACCTACACTCTGGAAACTACTGCTTACTTCTTCTTGTATTTTTTGTTAAGCTCAGTAAAGGAACAAAGCAGTATGCCAACAAAACTCCTCTGAGAATGCTTATAAATTTCTAAATTGATACAGCAAATTCCCACACAACAAATGTGCTACTCTTTTAAAAGTGTTATCCTCACCCAGGGAACTAAGGTCCAAAGAGGTAAGATTACTTGTTCATGGATACATATCTGCATCTTAGCTTTCTCCTAGTCTGGGATGGGTAATCAAATCAAACTAAATAGCATCTGCAAAATACGCTCGCTCTTGTTTACTGCACACTGGAAGTTTTAAAGCTAAATTCTTTTTTTAGACAATTCTGTGTCTCAGGTCTTTCAAATTTCCTTAACTATTCTCCTTGACCCATTTTTGTCTCATGTCGCTCTCTTAAAAACCCTGTTTCTGTTAGACAGTTGCTGTCGAATTGCTTCTGACTCACAGCAATCCCATGTGTTTCAGAGTAGAATTGCACTCCATAGGATTTTCAGTGGCTGTGAAAACTACTCTTTGGGAAGTAAATCACCAGGCCTTTCTTTTGAGGTGCCTTTGGGTGGACTTGAACCACCATCCTTTCAGTTGGTAGCTGAGTGCTTAACCATTTGCGCCACCCAGGGACTCCTGTTCCTGTGTATTAGGGTTTTTCTAAAACCCTAAATTCGGAAATCTGGGTTAACTAAAAATCATTTTTTAAATAGCTTCACCTGATGAACCAGGTTGGGGGGTAGTTACATCTCTTTAAAAAAAATAAATGTGGGAAAAGTATATTGTTCCGGGGGGGACGGGGGACAACTTGCCTAAAAGGAGCAGGAATCATTTTATATACAAAAGAAAAAAGCTACCCATAAGGCAGGCATCTAGGAAGAAACTTTCTGTATCATTATCCAGGGTTCTGTAAGATAAATATGAATTTATGCCAAAAGACATTTCTTTGACATAGTTCAACATTCACTTGTTTTCAATGGTGGGGGTGAGGGCCAGAATAAAATTCTATGATGTAAAGACCCAAAATCATTCAATTAAAAACTGAACTTCCTTGTAAACAATACAAGTAAATGGTAGTCAAAGCAAAATCTTAGGGATGATTCAAAATTTTTTAGAGCTGGTCAGGGTCTTTAAAAATTAATCTCATTCTATTCTACTAAAGAAACCAAAGCCCATGTACATTAAATAACTCACTCAAAAGCAGAGAAATAATCAAGTTTCCTTGCTCCCAATTTACTCTTCTAATAACAACCACTGACATACTACACATAAAGCAATTACTGGAACTGTTAACTGAGTAAAAGAATAAAGCTGAAAGCACTAAACAGATTTTGTAGTAGTTTTAACCTAGTTTCATCTTAAAGCACAAAAACACTATATGGGTATGTAAACACATCTTTGATTTTCAACATGAAATAAAACATTATTGCATCCACCTACTTTAAATTCCTTAAGGTTCGTGTCATTCAGCTTTATATTCACCGCTGCATCTAATACACTGACATATACCTAAATGTACAGTATCTAATGACTGAGAATTTACCACTCATTTTATAGATCTAACTGAAAAACAACAGTTGTATATATAGCTTGAAGGAGTTGCAGCTCACTGTAGCTGATTAGAGAAATTCCGAGACCTTTTTAACCCCTCAGCAGATTTTACATAGACCCTAACACCTGTGCTTGATGTAATTTAGATCACACTTCTCACATACAGCTACTACTATGATCTGCATATTCTATAACCATGACTCCCAGCCAGTGATTCGTCCAGAACTCAAAGCCGTTTTATTATCTGTGAGCTGGACAATAGATAGAACCTGATACACAATTAGAATCAGACATGGTTGCCTTTTAGGAATACTGCATTAGTTTCTGATACACCATTAATGCTTGAGTGTTGGGTGAGATCTTTCTACAGGTTGCTTTTATGACATGTATCTTAGTTTATGGCTTTACAACAGCAAATACGGAGTATTGTAATTTCCTGTAAGAAAAAAAAGTCTGCTTAATAATAGCCCTTTATAGGATTTCATCACTTGAGGGGTGGGTATTTTGAGAATTTTTATTCCAACTATGTGCTTCAAAGTAGAAACACTGAAACAAAGTCAACCTGAAATCTTACAGCTTTATAGCTGGACGAAATTACAGAGATCTTGTCTAAGCCTCCTGTTCAACAGATGTAGAAAACTAAGGTCTGTATAGTCCAAGGGTTACATAATAGGGAATTGATGCTTCCACTTAGGTTCAGTGTGATATATAAACAGCACTTAAATATACATTTGTAGACTATTTATACAACATTGCAACTGAAACTTCAATGAGTAAATTGTTATTATTCACCCCAATTAGAGAAACATAGCTGATAACTTGAAAGTGAGTAAAAATAAGTTTACGAATTTATGGATGCCATAGTAGCTTTAGAGGGAAGTCTGCTAGTAGTCGGGTCTATGAATTGAGAAGGAAACAGAAAATGAACAAGGGCATCTATGGACTCCTGATTTACTCCTCTACCTTGCCACTGGCTAGGAAGTAGCTTTTCTTAAAAGGGGAAAATAAATACTGCCTAAAATATTAAAAGGAAGGGAAATGCCAGAGCCCACATGCCAAATTAGCCTAAAGTCTTGAAATAGTACAGAAACTAAAACGTTCCTTATGCAAACGTACTTCCTTACCGTTTTTATCAATTAGAGATTTATCAGTCTTTAAAAAATGAGTAAGATTACTGGTTACCAATGAAAATCATTCCAATGTAAGTATGGCTTGTGTGGTATCCTTAGTTCCTCTCCATCATACAATGATTTATTTTATCTTCATAGTACTGTTTACTACTTGATATTCATTATTCCCTGCATTTTGTCCTCTATGAAAACTTCTCCAGAGTGAGGACCTTGCCTTTCTTGCTCACCAGTGTATCAATACCCAGTGCCTCAAATGGTGCTCAGCATATAGCAGACACTCAAATTTTTGTTAAATGAGTAAGAGTTGAACATATATAAAACATGCATCACTGTTACCTGAAGTCATGTAAACTGGAAGAATTTAAAACAAGATTTTGGAAATCTTGATCAAAGCAGCTAAAGCTGAATATCCTAATTTTTAACAGAATATGTATAAAAATAAGTGGGCTCTCTTTTACTATTCAATACCATAATATTTTTAATTACTCATCTTTAAAATTACAGTTCCTAAACACTGATGACAGAAAGCCAGACCTTAGAAAAAGATTATTAACCAGCATCTTATCTTAAAATCTTAAAACAGAATTTCTCAAGGGTTTTTAAACATACAATGTGCCCTGGGAATCTCAAAGCTGGGGATATGGTAGTGTTTACTAAACTCAACTGGCCAAAGCACTCTCTTTTTCATAGAACATCTCAGATTAAAAGAGTTCTGTGGAATACTTTTTGATATGAGTGATGAGGACTGAGTAAACTGTGGCAAGAAATTTCTGCATCCTGGCAAGGTCTCCAGGACACTACATGGACTGTGTTGTTTTTGTATGCCATCCACTTGCTTTCCAACTCATAGTGACCCTATGGGGCAATTCTACAGTTGAACTGCCCCATAGGGTTTCCTAGGCTATAATCTTTACGGGAGCAGATTGTCAGGTCTTTTCTTCCATGTAGCAGCTGGCAGAGTTTTGAACCGTCAGCCTTTATAGATTAGCAGCTGAGCACTTTAGCCATTGTGCCACCAGGGCTCTTTAACCCAGGCCATAGGAAGCTTCATTTAGTTCACACTTAAGGGTGTTACCTATCTTTCCCGAACTGGCTGCTGTGAACATTTACTGAGCATCTAGTTTTATAAAAGGCAAGCATTTTTCTCCCCTAGGAACCAGGACAATGACAATAATAAAACTACAATTTTTTGCACCCGTAGAGCTTATATTCTAGTGAGATTTTATATATATACATAGATGGACTATCTTAGTTGCTTGATAAGTTGTCTCTCACGTTTGTACTCTCCTA